GGAAGGCTAATGCTTGAAGGACTCCAGCAGAGCAGTTGGTACGTGTGCAATGTGCAGGGAGAAAACCCAGCATTGTAATCTGCTTTTGGTTCCAAATGAGTTACTCAGAATCCCAAAGGGGAGCAAAAGGATTTTGCTAATAACCATTTAATATGAACACAAATAGTTTTGTAACATGGTGCAGGCCAGATAGCTTCAAACTGTTTTCACTGTCAGTGTTTCCTACAACTGGAAGTCACCATCATCCCTCTTGTGGGCCAGTGTACTGACTGCTCTGTAAAGAACTGGGACACTTTTTAGTTTGATACTGGCTTTTTTTGGACAACTGCTTTGTTGAATTAAAAATAAATAGAGGCTGATTCTCCCCATTTGGGTTGAACAGAAGATTTTCTGATTCCCTGGGGACAAGATTATATCCCGCACTTGCCCCTTCTCTTCCCTCCCTTTTTCCCTCTTCATTTCACAAGGGCTGCTAGGGAGTCTTAGGGCTTTTTTTGGTGTGTGCAAGAGGTGGTTTTTTCCCTGGGAAGTATATAATGTAAACTGTGCCTTTGAGCTGCACCAAACTGGGTCTGTTATTTGTCACAGCGCTCGGTGACAAATAGCAAAGCTCAGTGCAGCAGCTGCACTCCTGGCCCTGGAGACTCTGCTACATTGGCTCCTGAGGATTGAATCAAGCAGCCATAGGCCAAAAGCTGATGCAGGAGTTCTCTAAAAACCATTTGTGGGTAGTCTCTCCAGAAAATCCCCATCAGTGACTTTCACAATAACACGACCTGCTTCGACAGCCACGAGAAGTCAGACTGGCAGTCTTGGCCGTGCTTGGAATCTGATTAGTGTCTCCAAGGAACTCTACAGGAAAAGGGGATGCACTCAAACCAGAGATGCTTCTGGAGGGAGGAGCTGGAGTGAAACGTTTGTTTCCTTGGCATTTTCACGCAGTGAAAGTTGATCACTTTAACAACTTGCCTTGGAGCCAACTAGCCTTTCCTTGCATCTCATTGAAGAACATGCTGCCAATTTCAGCAGCAGGTGACACGATGTCTTAGGCAACGTGCAAGCTCAGCAGCTTGTGGAGAGGTGTGTGGGGTCACCAGCAAAGTGTTAAGTGCTATAGTAGCGTTTCCCCCACCTCGTGCTCCTTGCTGGAGAAGACCCTGCTGTAGGTCTGGGGTGTCTGTTCTGCTTTTGCATCAGGGAAGCATTGGTGTGGTGAAGGACATGACGTTGTCCCTGCTGATAATGGAAAACTGGCATTCTCCTGACTTGCTGTGTTAGGTCTGAGTATCTTGCATCAGGCTTTTCTGTTATTGATCTGATCTATTTATAAACGCTTCGGATCAAAACAGTTTATGCAGAGCAGCCACCTTCTGTTAATTGATATTCTTCTCTTGAGCCTGTGCTGGCTTCAGCCTAGGAATGAGCGAGTGATGTTCTGGTACCAAGGCTGGTGTGATTCTTTGCTCCTCCCTGGGCCTAGGATTTATTTTCTCTGGGTTTATGCCAATAGGGGACAGCAGCTCATTCCAGAGCCATGCTGGGTGACCTTGAAATCCTCATTCCCGAGGCATTTGCTGATGGTTTCAGAAGGTTGGGTGGTGCTGACTGTGCATTTGAAAAGGGACTCTTGGCAGAGAGATGTGTCCTTCTGTCACAGGGGTCACGGGGAGGTGGTGGTGACCCAGGGTGACATTTGCAGACAGGAACCATGTGCTCACAGTTTGTCACATGTTGCTTTGGGCCTTCTCTCACAGCAGCACCTAACAATAGGGTATTTCTGGATTTACACCTGGTTTGGGTGAGTCTTGTCTGCTCCTCTCATTGCCACCTCATTGCCCCTCATTAACAGAAACACCCCCCCCCCCAATCACTGTAGCATAGCTAACGAGCTCCCTTCCTGACACAGCAGCATGAAGACAGATTAATAATCAGCAGCCCATGTGTAAAGCACACTAGCCATGGCAGCTCTACAAAGAGTAGGTCACCCTTCCTGAATGTCACCCAGGGCTGACTGACAATCCCTGCCTTGCTCTTTTGGTGCAGGTTCTGGCATGACCGAGCTGGATGGGCTGATTGGGGCTGAAGAAAAAGTGATTAACAGCAAGAACAAAGTGGATGAAAATGTGGTGAGCCCCCCACCTTTGTTTTGTAAAGCAAAACCTGCTGAGGACACTAATTAATAGCAGTGGCTTATTTCCATTTCTTTCCTGCTCAGAGAATGTCAGTGTGTTCATTATCCATATGGTGTGGGGGAGTTGGTTTTCTGACTGTTATAGGCTCTTAATACTGATTAGCATGAGAAGGGTGGGAGGGTGAGGGAAGGAGAGAGATCTAGATCTTTGGCTGCCTGAGCTGGAGAAGAGTCTCATTTAGCAACTGCTTTCCCAAGCAGAGACCCTCTGATGTGCCTTGATGTCTTGCTGTCTGAACACACCAAATGCTGCTGTGTTCCATCTGTCTTCCCACCCATTTTTCATGGCAAAAAAGGGCCTTGCCACCTTCTGAGGGTGAGCAGGCCAGTAGATATGAGCTCTATCTAGTGTAAAGAATTCACTAGGTTAGAATGGCAACCAACTTGCCTCAGTTCCCATGTTTAAAATTAAACAACCAAGTCCACTTTTGAGACTTCCCTTCCAAAATTGTTTTAAAGCCACAGGTTAGACTTGACAGGAGAGAAAAGCTGTGTCCAAGGTGTGTGCCTAGTTATGAAATTGAATCTTTATTTGGGGTAGTCTGAAGGCCCAACTGGTTGCAGTACTAACTCAGGTGGCTTTAAAAGCTGGAGAACATGACACGCTGTGGAGAGCAGAGGAGAGGTGGTGAATAGTTCTGAGCCTGTGGTAGTGTTCATTAAAGGTCTCTTGTCTGCCTTCTTGTTCCTTCTCCCACCTGTTTTGTGTGGCTCCTTTCATAAAATGCTTTTGTGACTGTTTTCAGGTGATTGATGAAACTCTTGATGTGAAGGAGATGATCTTCAACGCGGAGCGGGTCGGTGGGCTGGTGGACGAGCCGGTACGTGGCTGCTGAGCCCAGGGATGGGCACCTTCCTAAAGCTGGATGTCAGTTCCTGTGTGTTTCTGAATTCCAGGGGTTCTGTGCCTGGACACTGCTCTGGGAGGTCATTCAGGGTGTGCAAGACAGCATTTCTGCATAAAGGTGTAAAGAGGGAGCATGTCATCAGTCATGTCCTGAATACCAGAGATGGTTGAGGGCCTTATTGGTGGCCACCTTTTAGAATCATAAAATCATATAGAATCATAGAGTGGTTTGGACTGAAAGAGACCTTAAAGATCATCCAGATCCAACCCCCTGCATGGGCAGGGACACCTCCCACCAGCCCAGGTTGCTCCAAGCCCCATCCAACCTGCCCTTCAACACTGCCAGGGATGGGGCTTCCACAGCTTCCCTGGAAAACCTCTTCCAATGTCTCACCACCCTCACAGTGATGAATTTTAGGTTTGCTCTTCCTCTACCCCCTCCATTGTTTTCTTCCCTCCAGGACAATGACAACTCCCTCCGTGATGACTTCAGTTTCAGCAGCAGTGCCCTCATTGGGCTCCTGGTGATTGCTGTTGCCATAGCTACTGTGATAGTCATCAGCTTGGTGATGCTGAGGAAGAGGCAGTATGGGACCATCAGCCATGGAATTGTGGAGGTGAGAAACAACTCCTGCTCGATAACCCAGGATGGGAATAGCATGGAATCACATGTTGTGTGGTGGGGGTGCAGATGGCAGTAGCTGCCAAGCCATCTCTGCTCCTGGCTGGATGGGGCTTAACTCTGGAGATGCTGACATCTTCATCCCTTGTTTATTAGCGTGCAGGTGTCAGTCGTGCCTTGCTGGGACCTGTCACTTCACGCTCGTATTTGCTTATCACAAGGAATTCAATTAGGCTTCCCTGGCTGGCTCAGGGTAGGATTTAGCAGCAAATGAGCTTTTCAAGTGATATCTTTAGCAAGATATCTTTAGCAAGTCAGTCAATCCGTGGCAATTTGTCCTCCCAACTCATGTAGCAATTAAGGTGGCTCGAGAGCCGGGGAGCGGTTCCTCCTCCTGCCTTCTGCTCCCAACAAGCACATTTCTCCTGACAACTCAGCAAGAAAGCTCCTTTTCCCCTTTGCAGCCCATGTGGGAAATTGTAACAGCCTCTTTGAGAGAAGCAGGTCCCAGATTTGTAATGCTGGGGTGATCATTAGATTTATGGAGCTCATCCCCAAAGAGGCACGGGCAGGCAGGAGGCACCCAAATGAGGAACTCTGTCCAGCAAAATATTTGTTGTGGCTTCCCCTTTTTTCCTTGTTTACTGTTTTCCACAGTATTTACCCAGCATTTCTCTGTCTGCTCTTGTTGCTCTGACATCAGGCCTGCTAAGCTCTTCCTTTGCCCAGTTACCTTCTGGTCTTTCTTCTGGTCTTTCGTAAAGGTTGACCCGATGCTCACCCCAGAAGAGCGGCATCTGAGCAAGATGCAAAACCATGGCTATGAGAACCCCACCTACAAATACCTGGAGCAGATGCAGATATAAAAAGAGATGAAGATACAACAGCCCTGACTGGGAGAGGAGCAGGGCAGAGGGCCAAAGTGGTCCAGTGTTTTGGATCAACTACTGACCAACAGTTGCTTCAAGAGGACTTCATCTTACATTCAGAACTCCTGGATCATTAAGACTATAATTACTACTGTAGAGTTGCAGTTTCCATTCTTTTAAATGGGTGAAGAAATTATAATATAACAATATGATATATAAATCTCCTTAAATGGGAAAAAAAAAAATGGATCTATTGCAGATATTTGACTGAGATGTAGTTGGGTTTTTTTGTTTGTTTTTGTTTTGTTTTGTTTTTTAAATAACCTGAACACCAGTTCCTTTGTCCTGTTGTCTGATACAAACTCTCTATATATCAAATGGGAAATGCTGATTTTTATTTCTGGTAGACCACCTGTATATTGAGGCTCATTTGTACCAGCCCACCTTGTGAAAAGGAGACAGTTGTGGCTCTTTCAGTCATTTTGGCTTTTATATCTAAAGCAGTATTCCTTGTTTTGGTTTGGTTTTTTCCTATTTTAAAGTGAATTTCGCTGGGAGTTGCAAAGAGATTAATTTAGGGATAGGAACTACAACAACATAAGCAAGGAAGCAATTGGGAATGGTAACTAACAAAAATCCTTAGAATGAGAAAAAAAAGAAAAAAGAAAAATAACAAAAAAAAAAAGAAAAATACCCATCCTCATATGCCAGTGATGTGCAACCTGCTGCTCAGCAGCTTGGGCTCTAGGAATCAAGACTCCCTGGAGGCAAGGAGTTAAAAGGCTTCTAGCATCTCTGTTTATAGTTGTTCTAGTGGAATGTTAGAACATGGTTTGTGCATACTGGGGTCTGCACATTCCCCTTCCAGATTCAGTTCTGCTCTAGAGTTGGAAGATCCTGGTATTGAATTTAAATCCTCCGTTCCGAACTAGTTCCCTTCAGTACTCACCTGGCATTAACAGCCCCCTCTTGCTACTGCTTTCTAATTTTCCCCAGCTCTCCTGCCTCACCAACATGGTAAGTAGTGAAGAGAAGCAGGGTTTGGAGCCTTGGCATCTCCCTGGGTGCTGCTGGGCTTTGGGCCTCTGCCCAGCAACCACAAATCACTGCTGGAATCAGCATTTGGAGCTGATGAACGCGGCGTTTGCTGGAGCTGGGGAGAGGAGAGAGGGACACGTTGGGAAGGGGATGCTGCCTGCTGTGAGGGAAATTGGATGCATAGACCCCCAGAAGAACAGGGGTGTTGTTCCACTCACCATCATGTCTTTGTAATGCTTGTATAGTTGGTGTTAATGCTCACGGCTTTTTTAAATCTGGAGGTTCTGGTAACCTGTGGTGTATTTTTTCTATTTTTCCTGTGACTTTTATTTTTTCTTCCCCTTTTCCGTGTCTCTTCCCACTATGCACAGATTTACCTGCAAACTCCTTAGTGTGGTCTGTGGGGAATGTACAAAGTTTAAACACATCAATAAACACTTTAACTTCCAGGTGGTTTCTTCTCTTTATTCACGGGCTCCCCCGGGTTTCTCTCTCCTCCCACCGTGTCCTTGCCAAACCTCTGCAGACCCTTCCCCACCTCTTTGTCCACCAGCTGCAGGGGGAAATCTCCAAATTCATGGACAAGAGGGTGTAGAAAAGCCAGACCTCAGAGGGTGACACAGTTCCCTGTTGTGAATGGCGAGATCCAAAATATTTTGAAGAGCTGAAGAGCCCAGAGCAGCAACCGGCCAGCAACATTGGTGCTTGTATCATTTCTAATGTTTTCATTTAGGAAGGGAAATAACTTGGCTGGTTTATTTAACTTTCTCTTCCAGAACACCTAAAACCTAGCAGCCTGTGCAGCTCACAGCTGCCTCTGCTCCTGTGTGTCAATCCTCATCCATTTTCCTTCTTTGAAGTGTGACCTTGAGCACAGATTCCTCCTTTCTGGCACCTTGGAGAAATGACCCAAGAGTTGTTGCCACTTGAAGGCTGGTTTAGGAGGCCAGGAGACAGAATTCATCTCACTTCACATGGATCTGAACGAAGATCATATAGGTCTGAATGAAGAGGGGGAGAGGAGAGAAGAGGAAACACGAAGCCTTAGGAATTCGGAATAGGAAACGATTGTGTGTCCTGTTTCTCCTTAAGTGGGCTCTGTGGTTCCATTGGAACTTCCATGTTCTGGTTAAACTATTCAGACTCTGCAGGAAGGAACAGGTGCTGTCCTAGAAATGCTGTGTGTTGGCTTGTGACCACTACTTGGGAAAGAGTTTTGATTTTAAACTGTAAATTTAATTTAATTAATGCCAGAACATCAGTCCAAAGCTGTCTCTTGGGCTGCACCCTCAGGTAGGGTGACCTGAAAGAGAAACAAATTACAGAGGCTGTGGATTGAATTCCAGAATTGAATTTGGGAATTAGATTTTTCCTTCAATAAATTCTATTAGTCCTGCAAAATAAATACATCAGGCTGGAATCAAAGTCCATTAGTTACATGCTTGGGCAGAGGCTGCCAAGCGCTCGGGATCGATTCTTTCGTGATGGATTTCTGAGCTGCTGAAAAGTAATGTTTGAAAGTACCCACCTGAAGATGGGTGGTGAGACACCTCCCAGCCATCCAGATACTGCAGCAAAGAGGCCACAGGGTTGTTTTCTAAGAGGCCACAGGGTTGTTTTCTGAGGGAAACATCAGAACGTTTCATCGCGGTAAGACACTTAAAATCAGATGTTCCAAAGCCCAGTGAAGTGGTGAAAGGCTTGCAGAGTGTTGTCAAGAGCTGCATTCAGACAAAAACTGAAAAAAGTAGGTCCTCTGTTTGCCTTTGAAGAGGAGCAACATACTGAAAAGGAAAAGGGCTGAGAGAGGGGCCCTTGGGAAGTAGAAGAGGAGGCAGCGCGGGGTCGGTTCGTCTCTTCTTCTAAAGCTGCTTCTTAATATCTCTGCTCCAAAGATGCCGTGGGGTGGAAAGTCTCCTGTGCACAATGCAAGGTGGATGGAGTGTGGGTGGGTTTGGTTTCCCAGCCTCACTTCTTGTCCATGTGGAAAGCAAAGCACGTGGAGCACGTGTTGGGTCGTTGAGCCCTGCTTGACAGAAGAGGCTGAAGGTGCCCAAGAATGTGGTGATGTGATGTGATGTGGTGCCTTCTGTGCTGCTGCACCACGAGGTAACATTCACCTGGTGGAGCACATCAAACCTCCTCATCCTGGAGAGGGTTAGCCCTGAGCATCCCTATTTCAGGGAGCAAACTGCAGCTCTCAAGGTGAAGTTTCCCACATCCTCTTGTTGTCTCTAGTGCTGAGATTTGGTGCCATCGCACGGAAACTCCTCCAGAGCAGCAGCTCAGAACGTGGCATCAGGGCCTTGCTGTGGCCCTGGCATGTGCACAGCAAGGGTGGGGCAGGGATGGGCCAGGGAGAGGTGGTTTTTGTGGGACACAGCAAGAGAGAACTGGCAAGCAGTGACAGAGTGAGGCAGGGGAGGGCAAGTGGAGCTAAACGCTGATGTTAAGTAGGTCGGAAAGCGTGAAAATGGGTGAAGCCTTTGGAGAAGGATGGGCTGCTGGAAACGGATATTGATCTGTGTGCAGGGTGGCAAAGGGAGCTGGGAGCTTGTCTGTGCTGAGCCCACGTCCACACCTCCAGCTCCAGGTCATGCCAGCTCAGCACCACTTTCCCAGCCCCTTGTTTGGGCTCTTGGGTCCCAGTGGGACCACGTGCAGATCAACTGGGCACCAGCCTGAGCAGCAGCAGGGGGGGAAGCCAAAGAAGGGGCAGGGTGAGCCAGTTTTACCTGTGAATTCTCCTCCCAGCATCTTCAAAATCACAGTGGTTTCCACAGCAACATGAGCCAGTCCAAGTCCTTCCCCTGAGCCTGGGCTGGGGACCAAGCTGGAGGCAGAAGCCTCTCTTAGGCTGGTTGCCCCAGCCCAGGAGCTTCTCACCATGCTTAGCACTGACACTTTGGCAACGTTAGCTCTTTGCTTTCCAAGTCCCACTCACTCCAGCTGTGTGCATTGCTCTTCCTTCCAGGTATCCATGCTTGGAGCAAGGAGAAGGATGTGACTTCCCCTTCAAACCACAGAGGCTCCCTCAGAAGTGAAGCCTGGTGACCTCTGAGACTGCAGCAGGCATTGGGTTCCAAGAGTTGTGGGGCTTCTTCCACCCAAGGAGCTGGAAGATGTGTCCCTGCAAGAAAGGCATCTGTCCATCAGGAGGGTGAAATGTAATTGATGGAGCACCCCAGCCACAGCAGCTCTAGGAACAGTGGTGGCAAACCCTGTGGGCTTCCTGGGTGGCAAGGACCCAACTGCTTCCCCAGTGTCCTAAATCCCTGGGGAGGTGATGCCATGAGGGAGCCTGGGTGTCCTGCAGCAGACACTTGGTTGCTGACTACACAAGGTCCCACAGTTCTACTGGGAGAAACCAGTAGGGGCTCCAACTGTTTGGAAATCCTCTCTCTGTAACATTCACTGCTCTGATGTCTAAGAGGCTGAGGGTGCTTTTCTGTTCTGCTGCTCATGCTGGACAAGGTCAATGAGGGGTGAGGAAGATGATGCAGTTGTGGGTGGGATCCCAGCAATGGTGTGTCCTGTGAGGTCCCTGAGATGAAGGGATCTGGAGAGCCCAAAACAGAGGAGAATTCTGGTCTGTTGGGTGGTTCACAGCTGCTGCAGAGAAAGCACCTGCAGGGGGAAAGTGGTGTAAGGGCTTTCTGAGCAGAGAGAGGGAAGGATGGTTCCCTCACCTGCTCCCTGGGTGGCTGTTTCATATTTGTGCTCCCCAAATTGCTGCTGGGACAGGTCCCCAGCATGACCTGGGCTGGATGCCCCCAGGAGGTGCCTTTGAACACCGAGCAAAGAGAGACAGTCCTGAAAACCACCTGGCTGAGAAGAGCCATGACCTGGTGGGCTTTTGTGTGGCTGCCTAGGTCTGTGGGGTGTGTTTGGGAAGGGGGAGGTGGTTCTGTTCCCCAGGGCCTCGGGTTTCTGCAGCAGGGACTGGCACAAGAACAGAGTGGAGCTGATGCTCCCAGGGCTGGCACCGTGGAGTCCAATGCAGGGTGAGTCAGAAGTGTTTTGGCAGGGAACAGCCCTGCAGCTGCTGCAGGCTCGTGGAGAAACCAAGGTTGGAAGGAGCTTCTGGAGGGCATCTTGCCCACCTCCTGACTTTGAAGTCAGAGCAGGTCACTGGGTGGTTGAATATAGAATCATAGAATGATTTGGGTATGAAGGGAGCTGAAAGATCATCCAGATCCACCCCCCTGCATGGGCAGGGACACCTCCCACCAGCCCAGGCTGCTCCAAGCCCCATCCAACCTGCCCTTCAACACTGCCAGGGATGGGGCAGCCACAGCTTCCCTGGACAACCTGTTCTCCCTGATTCTGGCAGTCAGGGCTCCTTGCCAGCTCCCCTTGCCCTGTCCCTGTGTTTTGGGGCGTGAAACATTACCTGAATTATTTTATGAGGTCAGTGAAGCCTCAGGGTGAATTCCTGATCCACCCTAACAATGAGCCACAGGAAAACTGCTTCCTTTGCTCCTCCACTGCGTAAATGTAGATATTGATGTGCAGCTCTTGTCTGGGGGACACAGCCCTTGCTGTGCTCAGCCCTGCTTCAGGGGGGAGGGAAGGGCCCTGGCTGTTACATTTCAATATCTGTCCTGTTCATGGAATGGAATCATCTGCTTCAGAGGCTTTGGGTTTTTGCCCCATCCTGTGCAGATGTGGAGATGAGGTTGCAGCAGCCAACACTTCTCCCACAGCATCCTTGGAGAGCAGCTCATTGCCCCATGAGGACTTGTGTGCTGGGAAAGAAAGGTGCAGACAGAGCCATGGCCTGGCTCTTCCCTGCCAAGTGGCCTTTGTGGTGGGTCGTGGAGTTTTTGCTGGGCTGAACAGGTTTTGAACACTTGCAGGTGGCACAAACTTAGAGCAAGGACCTGAATCCAGCTGCTGAGAATCAGAGCTGGACTGGGACTATCCCAGGGCTCAGTGTTTGTCACAGCTCCAAGCTCCAGCTATCCCATAGAACACACATCAGCTGTACTAAGGGGATTATTCTGTGCTTCTTCCTCTGCTCATGATGCCAGGAGTGGTTTTTTCCTTGCTGCTGTCTCCTTGTTCTGAAGGGTGAATGCCAACACCCTTGCAGAGCTGGTACAGCACCACATGATGAGGCAGCCTCCTTTTTTCAGGACAATGCAGCAAGAGCTCCAAGCCAAAGATGAGGGAAAAAATGAAGAGGAAAAAGTCCTTGCCTCTTACTTTCAGGCCTGTTGGCTTAAATTTATTTTTTAAAAATAGAGAACACTTGAATTTCCTACCCCAAAGTCATTAGTGGAGCTGAATCTTCCGTAGAAATCAGGGCAGCAGGGAGGTCTCAGTCAGGTGTTGGTTTGGACAGTGCAACTTTTCCTGTGCTGTCAGCTCATATTTTGACAGAGAATTTAAACATGGGCTTATTTTTTGAGAGCTTCAAGTGTTCTTTACTTGCATACACCACAGG